CATGGACGACGGAACTCAAGGGAAAACGGTTCACACCCCCAGAAGGTACGCGCAGCAAAATCGCGAAAGTGTGCCGTCAAAGGGCGTCGTCAGAATGGGTCGTGCACGCCGGGCGAGTCCAATGTCCGCTGTACACGGTCCTGGAGCTCGCCGAAGACGAGAGCTGGTACAAGGAGGCGTACGGCACCTTTAACAAAAGAAAGTTTGGCCTGGGGGCGGTGCCGGAGAATGGCGACCGCGTCACCAAGTTCTACAACAAGGGCAAAGCGTACGATGGCAGCGTCACCAAGATATATCGCGCGGACGTGAAGTATCGGCGGGGGGGGCAGATGCGGCGGATGAAGCTGTGGGAGATCAATTTTGACGACGGAGATTGGGCTGAGCTTTCTGAGATCGAGGCCGTCGCGGCGAGACAAGCATACTTGCGGCGGACCCGAATGCCGACTCTCTTCGGGAATTAGTTCCACTTCGATACTTAGTGTCACCCTTTCGATACCTAGTGTCACCTGGCCTGCATCAAGTTTGGCATTGCCTCATAGAGGAATCTTGTAATAGCAAGAGAACAAGAAACAGCATGTCTGATTGGACGAGTGTGCCTCAGAGGGATCTTGGCTCTCAAAAATATGGATCCGACGACATTTACCCGAAGATATTCCATCTGTTTCCATTGCGAGTTGAAATGCTGCGCAAATGTCAGTAAGTATGAACACTTCACTTCAGTGCTATTCGGCTTGGATCGACATTCGCACGCGAGTTGGCACAGTCATACATTAAATTGGCATCCCCCCAAATATTGCACCTTCCCGTAATTGAACAATATCCAGCTAGCTGTCATTTGACTTTCCCTGACATTTTGGCAAGACCAAATCTCGACTTGTCAAAGCACGACTCATAGTGAACTTTGTGAAGTCTTCAAATTTCGACTGAATTAGTATGGCGAAAGGGCCCTTTGTAGCTTCTAGCGTACGCGACTTTTGTGGCGGCGTCTCCCTGGGGATTCCGCGTGGGGCGGTCGCGGCGAACGGCGACGCTTCGGAGGCGTCCAAATGAGCTCGCTTTTCATTGGTCGTATATCACCATTTGAACAAAGAGATCTCTGGGTAGCCCTAAGGGGCCAACGGCGCGTCTGCTCGAAGGGCGTGGCGGCTTGCAAGCGAATGAGCGCCGGCCCACGCTCCTTAAATGGATTTAGGGAGAGTTCGCCATGTCTTCGCACGCAGCCAAAATCTCGCCGGGGGTAGAATCTCATCGAGGCTTTCATCGGGCTCGACTCTCGTGCCCTGCAAAGGCGCCGAGTGCGTCGTTGAATGCGCGGGCGGCCCGAGCCTTCCAACGTGTCGCGTACTTGCATCTGCCGGCTCCTGCAGTTCTCTAACACTAGTTGAAGGTCGAGCGACCCTCGGCCAAAATCTCGCCGGGGGTAGAATCTCATCGAGGCTTTCATCGGGCTCGACTCTCGTGTAAAGAAACTAAGTCCCGTACGTCAACTTGACGTTAAGGTACAGTCCGTAGTAGCAGGATAGGCACAGTGGGTGAGAGGGGAAGCTCAGTGTGCTACCTTACGGTAGCGCAGTCATAAGATAGTAACTGATTATAAAGGAGGGGGAACGGGAAGGAGAGCCTAACTAGGGTAGGTACAGTACTAGCATGATGGTAGTAGGGTAGTGGTAGTGTAGCGTACTGTACTACAGTATAGTCATGGAGATATAGAGACAGACAGCAATCGCAGTGCCAAATATCGAAGCCTTGATTAACTGCCAGGGAGAACATCATTCGTACAGCGGTAAGAGAAGCCATGGGACTGAAAGTGCTAAAGAAGTCTACGCCAAGGCGCGCAAGAAAGCCGCGCGCAACGAGGCGAGCTTTGTGCTTGTCATAAGCTCCATCGGCTCTATATTTGACCTTGAGGACAATTCTTGAGTCAATGGGTCTAGCGCGATCAGGCATAGGAACTAGTTCAAATGCACCAATAGAGCAGAGGTCATGTATTTCCTTTGCTATGGCCTCTATCATTTTGGGTCTTTGCTCAATTGGTGTCTTTGCTAGGTCTGCTAGCTTGCTCGTATCAATTCGAATGTCTTCCTTAGTGACAGTGTATAGGGCTAAGAAGATCTCTGTAGCCTGTGGAATCGCAGCTGCACCATCCTCAGTATTCTCAATGACTTGATTTGTCAAGAGAGTAAGGTAGTCCACTAGTTGTTCATGAACATCGTAGTTAGTTGCATAATGAGCTTCTGGATTCTTCACCAAACTATAAGAGTCATACTTGACTGTATGGTACTGATCATGTGTCATGCCTAACATATTGGCACGCTGGTAGTCCTCTACGAGATTCCGCTGTATTCTTGCCTCGCGTAAAAGTTTCTCGTCGCAAAGAGAGGATTTATCTGGCACTATCGGAGGTTCTGCTGAGTCTGACTGATAATAGCAAGCGTAAGCTTCACCTGCCATCTTGGGCATACCTTTTTCTCCCCCGGAGCTAAGCTTGCTCCAGTTAGCTCCGCGAGAGTACTGCAGAGCATAGAGCTCAGGGTTTAAGAAGCGCAGAATGCCATACCAAACATCGTTTCGGTAGTCCTCGTGAGTACCGCCGTAAGCGAAATACTCCGGCAGGGTCTTGGCGCGTCGGTACGCCTTATAGCGAGTGTGAGCACGCACATGATGAGTTGCGCCAGGCATGACGTAAACCTCAGCATTCGCCTCGAGTAACTCGCCAATAGAAGGAATCACAAGCAGAGACTCGTCCCAACGAGAGTCCGCCCTGCTGATGTCAGTGCCGAAGCTGAAACGTTGAACCGGCGAACGCCGGCGCTTACGCAGGTGCCACGGGAGTGGCCGGCACTCAAGCGGTATATCCTTGTGCGCCTGCTCATATGTGTCGTCTTGATCGTAGTTGCCATCGGCCCCATATCGCATGGGCTCTTCAGGGACGGGTGGGTGGGTTTCATTCTTTTCTTTCTGCTGACCATGTTCCATGTCAGCTTCTCCCCCGGAGTCCTCCTCTTCTGGAGAGAAAGCCGCTTCATTCGGGTTGTCCTTTGTATCCGGATAGTCACTTGGGTCCGGAACATATGACTTCCTAGGCACGTCATGTGCCTTGGCTATTTTGTTTCTTTGCCGATCTATCTGCATGGGATCCGGGTCCTTATTTAGGTCCATGTCGATATCGGACAGGGTTTGCTGGAATTCGTCTGAGGTGCGATGAATTGTCCTTTGAGTCCAGCCATGCCCATCAGAGACATCCGCCGTTTCTTCTTCAGGTGGCTGTGGTAAAGCAGGATCTAAGATTATTTTCCTGGTTCCATCATGAAGTTCATTGGATAGCTCGTATGGGAAGATCGCAGAGCCTGTGGTTCGAATCTTGCCATCATTGAACAGACATACCTGCGCTCTGGGCATGTCTGTGAACTTGTTCTTCAACGAGTTCATCCGCCCATGGATGAGGAAATACGCTGACTCTCTAACTTCACCGAGTGACCCATCGCGGTTCTCCTTCTGTACAAGACTGTAACAGAATTCGCCAAAAGGCTGGAGTGTCAGTTTGTGATGGCCAGTGTCACCAGTAAACAGTTGCCAGGGTGTTAGAACTACACCGTAACGTTTTTCTAGTGCTACAGACGCGAGTGAGTTAAAGCTTTGACACGTGTGTTCCCAAGCCCATGGCCAGTAGTCGTTTGTGTCTCTGATGTATCGATGATTCTTCAAGCGAGCTAGCTGCTGATTGAAATTACGGAGACGGACCCTAGTCCCTTTCTTACATTCATGAATGGAGGATTCAACCTCACCATTTTTCCAATGCATGTAAGGAGGGCACACTTCCAGGGTAACTCCAGTTTCATTGCGAAATGCAGCAATGCCATCGTCACTTCTAAACTCCATGTAAGTTGAAAACATGTCTGAGTACAGGTATTTCAGCTCATTGCCGGTGAATTGCTTAGAGTACGTTTTCACATACTCAAGTGCTTCACGGAACTCATGTGTTGCATTAGACCTCACATAGTAAGCGACTCTCGTCTTGCTGACAATGTCGATAAAGTTAAGCACATAGCGAAAACCCTGATGGGAGATATGAGTTAAGTCTGCCCCATCAAAAGAGTAGCCCTCACCAACGGACAAGGAAACTTCTTTCTTGGGTAAGTTCTTGTTGAAGTGTCGGCGAGGGTTCTTATCGTTCTTGCAAATGGAACATTCCATGCAATTTTGCTTGTGCTTAATATCACCAGGAAGAAGACGATGGTTGGTAGTACACTGCATTGTCTTAGCCGCAACGTCATTGTTACAGTGATAGATGCGATGAAAGTCACGCATACGCTTCTTACTAGCAGCTTCAGTGGTATCGCGGGTAGTAGTATTGTGTTTTGCAGTGCGCACATTCCTTTTCTTGGACACATCAGTATCAATCTTTGGAAATTCAGAATAGGAATTGTTCAGAGCATGTCCCGTATCATTCTTTGGTTGGAACATGCAATTCATAACTCTGCCAATCAAGTGCGTTGCTGTGTTCTTCTTTGGTGTCTTGAATGCGACTAGATTGGAAAGAACATAGTACGCTCCCCCGCGGTTTAAGCCACCATCCAAATCATCAATGACCGCTTTATAGACGGCATGAAGCATTCCAGAGGGCACTGCGTTAGCTATGTAGGTGTAGGCTTGATCTTCAGAAATAGATCTCAGGAAATCTTCTTGCTCTTCGGCGAGGTGATTGATCCGGAGGATTTCATTGAAAGTCAAGCCGCGTATCCCTCTAAACATCTTGTTCTTGTGTCTGTCATCTAGAATAAGGATGTTCGCCCAACTAGTGAAGGTAGGAGAGGCTCGTTGTATGGAGTATACTTTGTTGCCTTTCACATTTTCGCCGTTTACGTATCCAAGGTAGGATGACCGGGAGAGATAACAAGATTCCAACTCAAAATTGACATCCTTGTAAGTCATAAGAGCGTGATCGCTAAAGTCAATGCAACCAGGCTGCACAGAGTTAAGGTGATCGACAAGAGTTTGGGTGTTGGAGAGTTTATTGTTTGAACAAAAACTAGAGATGTTGAAGAGTACTCCATCAAAGACTTCAAGCTCCGCTACTGCCTTAGAGTGAAGACTGAAAGTCTGTTGACAAACGTTCTGAAGCTCTGATTGAGCAGGGCTCTCATCGAAACTAGGCAGCTTAAGCTCGCCTCCAGTGTAGCAGCCCACGTTGTAGGTACACGTTGCCTGAGTAAGGGAAACGCCTGCGCTGTGTCTCTCTGACAACAAGGCTGTTGGACTCGGTGGTGAGGAACCATACATTTCTGGGTCGATTGTCGTCAATCTTCTCCAGCGCAAAGCCTCTCTCTGCAGAACTAGCATTCAACCACACGGCCATGCGGCCGCCGCGCTCGCGCGCGGCCGCCGGCGCGGCGACGGGCACGCCGAACTCGTCGACGTCCTCCTTGGCCTTGGCCTTGTCGCCGCGGCCGAGGCCCGGGTCGAAGGCCAGCACGTCGTCGTCGTCGTCGTCGTCGGCGTACTGCGGCGACGGGCTGGGCGCCCGAGAGACGGGCGCCGTGGACGCCGAATCCTCCTCGAGCGCCGGCGCGGGCGCCGGCGCCGGAGTAGCCGCCGGCGCGGCGGCGGGCGCTGGCGCCGGAGTGAACTGCTCGCCGCCGCCGGCCGCCGATTTGAAGACGAACGAGCAGAGCGCGACCGGCGTCGCGTCGCGCGCGTCGCCCGCGGGCTGCCGCGCCTGGTAGTAGTCCACCAGGGGCAGGTTTTTCGCGTGGTCCAAGGGCGGGTAGCCGGTGGTCCCGACCGTGCCCGGCGAGTCGAAGGCGGTCCACTTCTCCGGGTCCGCCTACTCGACGACGCTCTGCGCGGGCTCGTCGGCCGCGGGCTCGTCGTCGCTGTCCATGGCGTCGTCGCGCACGCCCGTCGCCGCGGCGCCACCACCGCGCACGGTGTCCGAGATCCGGGAGCACACCTCCGGGTCGGAGACCTCGAAGACGGCCTGGCGATCGGGGTCCGACGCCGGCCCCAAGTTTTTTGAATTGTCTTTTAAATTTTTTTGAGTCTATCATTCTTGTTTCACATATAGAGCATATCAATCTGATAAGCATTCGCTGAATAAACCTATGCATGATATGACGCATATCCTAGGAATCCTAAGCGGGTTTGCGGACCGCAAAGCTCTTGCAGTGGCAGTTAAGATGCTGGAGCGATATCGTTTTCTGGTTTGGCGGTTGGTTTGTCGTCGGGTTCCGCCCGACCGCTGTGGTGCGTGGCCCTCGTTCGCCCCTCTTGTTCCTTCCCGACACCTTGTCCGTTCCCATAGGTCATGCGGACCATCCCGCCGCCCCGTGGGCAGCGGGTCCCGCGGCCCGCGGGAGCAGCGGCGGGTACGGGATACGAGCAGCCTCAAGGTGGAGGTGGTAAAAGGGGTACTGGAAAATCGGTCTTAGAGATGAGGAAGTTCTTTGTGTTGGATACTGATGGTCCACTGGAGGAGCATGTGCTGAGGTATATGCCAGCTGATATCCGCGGGAGGGTTACGACGGAGCGGGCATCCGGGTCAAAGTCTGTGATAGAGGGCCGCCACTTCAAGAAGATGGTCCAGTCAATGGTTAATCATATAGCACAGCTACAGGAGGGGGCAGGACTTCTACAGCAGCAGCTACAGCAGGCACATGGTCTTCTTGTCCAGCATGGACTCGTACGACAGCCGCAGGGACAGCTACAGCTAGCACAACAGCCTGCACCAGTGCTACAACATCCAGCACCAGTGCCACAACATCCAGCACCAGTGCCACAACATCCAGCACCAGTGCCACAACATCCAGCACCACTACAACTACAGCCACAGCAGCAGCAGATGCAGCCGGGACAGCTACAGCTAGCACAACAGCCAGCACCAGTGCTACAACATCCAGCACCAGTGCCACAACATCCAGCACCAGTGCCACAACATCCAGCACCAGTGCCACAACATCCAGCACCACTACAACTACAGCCACCGCAGCAGCGGATGCAGCCGGGACAGCTACAGCCACCACAACAGTCAGCACCAGTGCTACAACAGCCACAGACACAGCAGCAGCCACAGCCACAGCCGCAGCAACAGTCACCTGGGGATCTTGTCTTGGAAAATGCTGCGAAAAGGCATCCGTACAATCTGAAGTCTCTCTCGTTTGGTAAAGATGTAAATAGAGCCATAAAAAGAGCCCTATCTCTGCCTTCCGAATCATGCCCTGAGGCTCTGAGCAAGGACCAGTGGACCTTTGTGAAGAACATGACGAGTGCTTACAGGGACTTCTGCAAGCAAAGTCCGCTGGCGGGGGACGAGGTCAGAAAAGGCCCATTGGCAGAGGCCATGACATGGTGGATTCGGTCCATTGACCATGGGCAAATATGGAGAACATGCCTAACTGAAGCATTGATGGAGATGGGTGAGTTTGTGGGTACGCCGTGGCGTTGGGTGTGCGCCATGGACCTACGTTCGAAGATGTCAATGAAATGTGTGGAGGACTTCCACAGCATTACCATCAAACTGACAGAGCAGTGGCTTGCTACAGCCTACAATGCTGGACTCCCGCGACAGTGCAAGGGCAGTTGGTTGATACCACACAGCAGGCAGATGCGGGCAGCTAGTAAAAAAGCTTCATTGGAAATGGACAGGATCCTTAGCCCTACATATACTGCTCCCCCAGGCAGTGGTGTGCTTGATGTTGACATAGCATTGATCGAGAAGGTACAGAATTTTGTGCAAATCGACATCCACAACAGGGGATGGGATGGGCGTGGGACATGCAAGGAAGATGCACCAGACTACAAGCTCACAGGGGACAATGGCCACCAGAGTAACAAAATTTCCACTACCTTTGCAGCACTAATCCCAATCTCAAGGCGGGAAAAGCTCAGGAATGCCATTGATGGTTGCGTTTCTCGATACAGCCAGAGCACGGATCATATTTTACCTTTAGTGATGGTCATGATGAAGGAGACAGGAATGCTGTGGCATCAAGCCATGGATGCTGCGTTTTGTACCAAATTGCATAGATGATGAGTCATTAAGACTGTGTACGCTATATTTCATTGGCATTGGACTTCTGTAGCATGCTGTATGTCCTCCCCCTCTCCGAAATTTGTTACCTAACGTAGTTAGATAGAGCTGAAGATCGGAGAAAGTATTCCATGCGCTAGCGACAGCAGGAGGAATGTGAGGTGTGGGGAGGCCATCACGGCTACAACGCCGCGCGTCTGCGAGCAAGTAGAGCTGTGAATCATATCCATCCCTACCTTGATCCTTATGCTGTGGCAAGAAGTCATCCTGAAACTTAGTGAGCAGCTTATCATCGATCACAGTGACACCATTCTTCTCCATGAAAGTCTGATAGCCTCTAAGGTACGAAATGTAATGGTCCGCATAGTACTTAGACTCGTAATTGGTCTTGTTGAAAGTAGATATGTGCTCCTCATTGTTGGAAGAAGGTACCACATCCATTGTCGCTTTCACCAGGGTGTGGATGGCCCAAAAGGGGTTCGGAATACCATAGTTTGTGACCAGGTGTTTAATTTCCGTCCAGCAGGGCAGATCCTTGGCCGCCGACTGATTGGATCCATCAATGTCACAAAACCTCTGGAGCAGACCCGCAAGGCCCTGACACCCCCACTCGAAATCGACCGGCTTTGGCAACCGATTACCTCCATGAATGAGTTCCATCTTTTTGTCTTTCCTGACAAAGCCATTAGGGATGGAGCAGTACAAAGCAGCAAACTCGCTGCACTTGAGATCGTCGAAGACAGGATTTCTCGTCTCTTCTCGATGGTTCGTAACAGCGCGATTCATCATCAAAAACCAGAATTTGCCGCGCTTGGCGACCACTCCGTATGGCCGGACACCGCCGTCCTGCGTCTCTCTGACAACAAGGCTGTTTGACTCGGTGGTGAGGAACCATACATTCCTGGGTCGATTGTCGTCAATCTTCTCCAGCGCAAAGCCTCTCTCCGCAGAACTAGCATTCAACCACACGGCCATGGCCCGGGCAAACAGCAAACGTTCGCCCGCGTTAGCGGGGTCGATGAATGAGCCATCTGGCCTAATGCATCTGTTGTCGGTGTTAACCACTTTGTTGCCCTGGGGGCCACTACCGGTTTTAACCTTGTTAGGCATGTAACGCCACTGACGCAACGCCGAAAGCATGAACTCCTTGGTCCAGATAGGCCTAGGTCTTGGTTCGTAGTTTGCGGGAGGAGTAGCTGGAGGTGGGTCGAAAGGCGAGTCGTTACGCCCTTGTCTATAACAGGCCTTGATGAGCTCATCAAAAGCCTCTTCAAGCTTTGACATGGTATGACAACGCAAACGCGCGTACAGATTTGGGTCGTTAGAGGGAGATCGAACCAAGTCTTCATATGTGGCATACTGACTGAAGTTGGCAAACATAGGGTTACTGACGTTCTTATTAAAACGCCCCAAGTTGAATTCTGCCGTATGGTTCACTTGAAATCTGTGGCCATCAAGGAAAGTGTTAAGTTGGGAGTCGACAAACGACTTTGTTCGGACTTTATCGTCGCCATATATGTTATCGAGTTGTTCTTCGGTGTCAGCCATAGCTGACGGGTATTTTTATGTGTGAATGTGTACCAGGCTCACAATTAAGGACAGGTGTGACAAGCACCTCTTGGCACACACACAAACAAGAGCAGTCTCTCGCACAAGTGGGAAGGGTACGTCTAACGACGCACCCGCGCCATAACCTGTAAAGAAACTAAGTCCCGTACATCAACTTGACGTTAAGGTACAGTCCGTAGTAGCAGGATAGGCACAGTGGGTGAGAGGGGAAGCTCAGTGTGCTACCTTACGGTAGCGCAGTCATATGATAGTAACTGATTATAAAGGAGGGGGAACGGGAAGGAGAGCCTAACTAGGGTAGGTACAGTACTAGCATGATGGTAGTAGGGTAGTGGTAGTGTAGCGTACTGTACTACAGTATAGTCATGGAGATATAGAGATAGAGAGAGAGAGACAGACAGCAAGGTCAGTCTATATTCTTTGCATCCTATAACACTCACACCCCGAGTCTGGTCGGCCCGTTCGGGATCCTCTAATCCGACCTCCGTCGACTTGCTTCCGTCGAGCAGGCTCGCCTTTACGCCCACGTTCCAGGTTACTCAAGTACGAGATATATCTTCTGTCTCTCTCCTCTTAGAGAGAGATACCCCAAACTAGGGTAACAAGAAACGTTGATGTCGACGTTACGGGGGAGTGCAGTGTCATCTCCATAGTGTGACGTAAGGAAATTTTTTAATTTGAGTAAATTGAGAGATATGTGTATCACGGTCAATTGTGATATTAGCAGAACCACCAGAAACATCAATTAGAGGTGTCATAATTGTTGTTTGAGCAAGAAGGGAAGGGGTGTGGCCAGTCGACGCCGCCCGTGACGAGGTTCTCCACGACCCAGCGCTCAACAAGGGGCGAGTTCAAGACCTCGAGGACGCTCGCGTCGTCGTTCGGTCCGAATCGCGCGTCGACTTGCAGGGGGAGCGTCGAGTCCTCGGACCCGCTGTAGAGGACCACGGGACGCGTCAGACGCGGCAGCACGCGGTTCACGAAGAAGCGGATCGCGTCGCCGCCCGTAGAAGTTGCGGTTCCCGAGCCACACGGTCCGTGGGACCCTCCGCCGCCGGACGAGGTACGTCCGGAAACCGCACGTCCCGTTCTCTCGAAAGATGATCCAGTCGCAGAGCGAGGCGACACCAAAGTCCGGGACGCCGACGCGCGGATGCCGCGTCGTGTGGAGCGCCCGCCAACTGAGGTTGCCGGGACTCCAGTTTCTGAGTTTCTCGCTGAGATTGAATTCATTCGGTGATGTCGGCGCGTCGGGAACCGGAGCCGGCGGCGCGTCGTAGACTTTGAGGAGGTGGGTCGTCTCGTTTTTGGCCGCGAGGAGGTGGGTCATGGTCTGGAACCACTCGCGGGACGCGGCCGATGCCGGTGGATGCGCCGCTCGTCCGAGTAGTCGAGGCGGACGAAGAGGCAGTCCACGCGTTCGCAAGCGGCGCGTGAGTCGAAAAATCGCGCGCCGCGCCGCCCCGGCGGTATCAGCGACACCGCCGACGCATTTCGCACGCATGTCTCGTCGACGGCCCATTTCCCGAACGCCGTCTTCCGCCTCGGGCTCTCGAGGAGGACCTCGTAGGGGGAAGTGTAGCCCGAGGGCGGGGAGAAGATGTCGTCGGTCGTCGACGCGACGCAGCCTCGCGCCGCGAACGCCGCGACGGCCGCATCCCAAAGCGCGACCTGTTCCTCGGCGCCGCAGCGTTCCGCGTACCACGACTCGAAGAATTGGTGCGCGGCGGCGTCGTCGCGGACCGCGAGGGACGCGCTGGAATACTGCCACGGCGGCGACGTGCGTCTCGCGAGGCCGGCGAAGACGACGGACGCCGACCCGTCCCCGACACGAGGCACCGCGAAGCCGTCGAGCGATACCTTCGAGACAATCGCTGCGTCCATGTCCGCGTAGACCTGACGAACGCGACCCAAACGATACAGAAGACCTGACTAAAAAAGAGGTATCGGACACCGGATTCGACGACGGCGTCGACGCCTTCGGCGTCGAGCGACACCACGAGGGCCAGGATCTTCGCGTACCGACTGGACACGTTCCGCGTGCCGCGGTGCAGGTTCTCGAGGCTTGTGTCGTTGCAGAGCCTCGGGAGGGACGAGCGCCCGGCAGCGGTCCCGTCCAGAGCAGGAGCCGATAGCCGCATCTTGCCGAAAATTCGACCTTGTTCGTAAAGTACCTAGGGACGCGTCGCGACGCGAAAGTCGGGCGGCGCGGGAAGCGCGCGGCCACCACTCGAAGACGTATCGCGGGAGCGCGCCGCCGGCGGTCCGCCGCGGCCTGGCAATGGCCGGCGACGACGACTTCGACGACGGCGGGGGTGAAGACCACGTCGAAAATCCAGATATGTATCCTCCGTCGCTCACCGTGACTATCCTAAAATCAAGCTATAGATACAAGCCCAATGCATTGCCAACTTCAAGCTAAGCCAGTCAAGTTACCTTAGTCCAGTCTCCCGCCAACCAGCGCATCCATCGCATGCTTGTTTCACTAGTCTAGCTTGATGAAATAGTAATAGGCTACTATTATAGGAATGTCGGTTCTAGGTCGCATCTCCCCCCCCCGCCGGCGCCCCGGGGGGGTTCTTCTACGCTCGCTCGAGCGAGGCCTTTGAAGGGCAAGCGGCGGAGGTCGAAGCCAAGGTTGAAGCGGCGTTTAACATATCCCGCCGGCGGGATATGTTACGGTATTTTGGTCCGGCCCATTATAATTTTTCACAAGCATGACTTTTTTCTATATGCGCTGCTCCGTTACGGGCCCGGGCTTGCGCGTGTAGACGATGAGCCACTGGTCCGGGTAGGAGACGACATGGGTTCAGCAACATCGAGGCGGGCCTTGGACGACGCACCCGGAAAGTCGTCCAAAACAGCCAACGTCTACATTGCTAGTTTCCGAAAATTCCTTGGAAACAACCGCTTTGTCGACCTCAGCGACAAAAGCGCGCCAAGACGATGCTAGTGATACTTGCACCCCAAAGCTCATGCCCATGCCCATGAGGACATGTGTCAATCGACGCGCAAATGTCACACATCGTGGCACGACTATCTCCATGTGTCTTTCATGGACTCCGTCGAAGGTGGTAGGTGTGAAGCCGCCATCATCATATGGAAGGGGTGTAAAATCCACTTTGTCGAACGTCCCTTCGGCCCACTTGAATACAGCTTGCCAGCAGTCATTCTGAATTTTGTATCCGCCTGGCAGAGCACGCATTGCCGCGACGGCGCCGAGTTTATCTCCCGAACCTAGCGCCCTGATCACGCGGCACAAGCCGCGTCGCTCTTCGATAGAGAATTCAACGCACTGTCCGTAATCAATGAGGCCAACCCGACCATCCGGTGCGATTAAAATGTTCCCCGGATGAGGATCGATGTTGACGAATCCGTCGAGAAGCATCTGATGCCCGTGCACCTGCACGACGACATCCAAAATTCGCTGAAGCTCCTCTGCCTGCGATCTCTGGTACTGTCGCATCTGCAAAAAGCTTTCAGAGAGGAACGCACGTGCCCCAATCCCACGTGCAGTAAGAATAAATCCATTGTGAACTGCGACAGACCAATTTTTGATCTGGGACGACATTTCGCTGACACGTTTTGCTCGGGATATATCGTTCCAGTTGATGTGTTTCGGGGCGGCACAATCACCGAGCTCTTGGCCCCTCTTATCCATGCTCGAACGCCCGATTTCCTTTGCTCCAGAAGTTGCGTTGAATTGTTCGCGAAGCTCTTGTGCGTCTCTGAGGCCGAGGGCACGCGCGAAAGCGTCCACATCGCGTGCAATAATTGACTGAAAGCTCAATCCCGGCAAAAAGTCCATTACTAAAGTTTTTCTAGTAGTGCACGTCGACGGCATGAGCGGCTGTGGGATGACCACCTCATGCGGAGCAAAGCCTGCATGGATCATCGACTGGGTAATTCGGGTTAGACTCCGCGCCTCACTTCTAAAATCAAGTTCGTTCATATGAGTTTCATATTCTCTATTAAGATGTTCGTAAATTTCTGGCGCCAAAAACTTGCAAAGAAGGAGAACATTATCGAGGTCCAACAGAAATGTTTTGTCCACTTCGGGGTACATTATCTTGACAACAACTTCACGAGTCCCACCTTGATCTTTGCAAACTACCGCTCGGTGTACTTGCGCGAGGCTCGCCGACCCGAGCGAGTCATGGTCGACAAACTCGAACAAGTCGTCTAGCGACTTTCCAGTTGAACTCAAGAAGACCTCAGCCATTGTTTCAAACGGTCGCGACGGGACGTCCACGCAGAGCGGTTTCAGAGCATCTACGTAGGTCTCTGATATTATTCCTCTTGACATCGAAAAGCGTTGACCAAGCTTTATGAAGTAACCCCCCAATTCTGAAACTGTATCAAATAGCATCGGTGCTGTATGATCGTAATACTTTTGGGCCTCCTGATTCCATTTGTCGGCATCCCAGCACCATGTTCGTGATTGGAGCTTCAAACACGACCATGTGAGCCACTGTGGTAACGCACGCTGCCATATGAAAATAATTCTTCTAAGTTTGCGATTTTTTGAGACCCTCCAAATGGCAATTGTGACGAAAATTAAGCAGATGGTCCAATTGAGTTTTTCCCGGCCGGCGGAAGTTTTCTCTGGAAAGGGGCATAGTGTAGGTCCGGTGGCCATGGTCATAACTAACCTTTCTAACTTCGGCCCGTTCTATGACTAGGGCAACGCCTTTAACCGATCGTGTTAACACGACGGCTGAACACGATCGGCCGCTCGATCGAAGCGCTGCCATATGATGGCATGACAGGCTTGGCAGCCCCACATCTCAGCGAATTTGCCGAGACGCGCAACGATCTCAGTGGCTAAGTTGACCGCATGCGCGCGAACGAAGCGCTGATAAAATTGCGGGCGATTGCTAAGATGGAACCAATCGGATAGATTAATCGTATGATGGAACCAAGTGGTCGAGAAAAGCATGATGGAACCAATATTCATGCCTATGATGGAAACAATCTAATGCGGGTTTGTCGACGCTACCTGAACCAATACCACTCAATGGACACTTTGATCATCTCCATACCCTGGTGATTAAAAACCCGCACGCCCATTACTTAGTGCGCGTAGAAAGTTTATGAAATAGATGATGGAACCAAGACTTCGACGCGAAATACATGATGGAACCAAGACTTGCGACTCCATTTTTCACCATGTCCTCGACAAGGCTTATTGCTTGGTTCCAACATAGATTTTGCGCCATATGATTCCAACGTAGATTCGCGAAATGCATGATGGAACCAAGACTTGCGACTCCATTTTTCACCATGTCCTCGACAAGGCTTATGGCTTCCAACATAGATTTTGCGCCATATGGTTCCAACATAGATTTGCGCCATAAATAGGAAATAAATAGGAAATAAATATCTAAATAAATGCAGATAAATATGAACGGGCAAATAAAAGAGCCGAGAATAACAGGGGCTATAAATGGGCAGCTACCCCAGCCGAGTGGGGTCCGTCTCGATATAGTGCGCGACGGCGAGGTCCGCCTTGATAGGCTTACTCTTAAGGGAGGAGCTGGTGTGGCACTTTGATGGCCCTGGCTGGGCCAGACAGCAGCCAGTTTTTCTCGTGCCTGACGGGGAAGGTACTGCCGGTCTTGTCCATGCAGTAGACGTGGATCCGTGGCCTTCCATCCGGAGGCTGGTCTGGACCAGTTCTCGCACCTGCGTGCGCCAGGTTCCTGCTGCACATCATAGCATACCCGAATGGTATTTCAATTGGCGGAGCATCGTTGGAGAAGTCCGCTGGGATGCATTGGTCCCCTTCTTTCTTACAATATTCAACTTTATGTGATCCCCGAGACACGCATAAATTCGTCCCTGCTTCTGTGACCGGGATGACGATAAACCCAATTTCTTCTTCCTTACCTTTTTTGGCCTCCGAGTCATGGTCTGTATGCATTATCTGCTGGTCAACATTCTCCTCCGTAGCCAATACGACCTCTCCCATCGTACCTGTACCTGTGATGTTGCTTAAATTTGCATGTGTAGAAAGCTTAAGTTTAAGTTTGGCGTTCATCCATCGCCCACTTCGTTTTGCCTGCGCGGTCGTGTCCGTTCCGAAGTAAGTCGTCCATCCATTTCTCCTCTTCTTTTCCGCGAACCCCTCCTTGACCTTATCATAACTAGCCACTGCATCCTTGACAACACACTCATCAAGCTTGTGAAGATAGAAGCCGTCCGCAGGCAGCGAAAACTTTTGCATATGGGCTTCATTTCTCTCGGCTTGTCTGCTTATTTTTCTGGCGGCCACTTTGCGCTGCGCCTGTATTTCTTTGTTCTGCGCCGCTACCTCAGGGTCCCCCTTCGGGTGCGGCAGCCGCGGCTTCTTTGCTGGTGGCTCCATCTGTGGGCAGCAATCCACGCTTCCCGAGTCCATGAAAGTAGGCGTCACGATCTTTTGTTCGGTGACCCCGACTTTTTTGTCCGAGCGGGATTCTATATTGGAAGCGAGGGCGATAGTAGTATAATGGAACCAAGTCATCCTCGACATTCCGAGTTGTCTCCGCCAGTAGGGTACAATGAATGGGGTAAACAAGAGCTCCGCGACTTCCTCACTGCTCATCCGGAAATCCGGGTTNTAAGCGGGACTTTCCGCACGGCGG